TGGCAATGTTTCATAGGCAGGGAACTCAGCCACTTTAAAATGCATTCATTCTATTTGCTGAGGCCTTTCATTTTTACAGTTGGTATAAAGGTGAAATTCAGTACAGTTCCACCAAAACTGCAACAAAACCTAAATTCATGGAGCCCAATCAATGGGCTTTCATCGTGACATTGTTAATGACTTAAGCTCACAGATCTAGAGAATTATATGTGACTTAGCCTGGGCTCAAGTGATCCTCCTGCCTCAGCCTCCCAAATAGCTGGGACTACAGATGTGCACCACCATGCCCAGCTAATTTTTTCTATTTTTTTGTAGAGACAGGGTCTAAGTTAACTCTTTCTTTATCACTTTATCTTCGTTTTTTCATTACTTCACTGATGCATTTTATAACCATTGTAATATCTGCATATCACCTATACTATTATGTACTTAAAACTTTTACTTGATGTTTTAAAGGTAATTTAATATCATTGCTATAAATAAATATCCCACTAGTTCATTCAACAAATATTTACAACGTGCCTAACCTACACTGGGTGGCGGGGATACAGCAGTGAAAAATAGACTTAAGAGAATCCCCTCCCTCATGGTGCTAATGTTCTAGTAGGGGTGACAGACAATAAACATGATAAATACATGAAATAAATGGTACATTACAGAGTTATCAGTGATGAAGGGAAAAGGGAGATGTCTTAGTCCATTTTGTGTTGCTATAATAGAACATCTGAGCCTCTGAGTCTGGGTAACTTATAAAGAACAGAAATTTATTCTCTCACTGTTCTAGAGGTCGGAAAGTCCAAGATCATGGTGCTGGAATCTGAGAAGGGCCTTCTTGCTATGTCTTCACATGGCAGAAGTCAGAAGGGCCAAAAAGGGGGCAAACTCTGTGTCCTCACCTGGAAGAGGAACAGAAGAGAGAGAACCCACTCCCCAAAGTGCTTTTTATAGCGTCGTTAATCCATTCACGATGGTGGAGCCCTCAGGATCTAAACACCTTCCATTAGGTTCCCCATCTCAACCCTGCTGCTTGGGGCATTAAGTTTCCAACACATGAATTTTGGGGGACACACTCAAACCATAGCAGGGGGATATCAAGTGTGAGTGGAGAATAGATACAATTTTAGATAGGGTGGTCAGGGAAGGCCTCATTGAGATGGTGCCTTTTGAGTGAAGCCCTAAAAGGGACCAGCCATGTGGAAATCCAAGAGAAAGGCAATTTAGATACAGGAACAGACAGTGCAAAGTCCTGAGGAGCAAGCGTGTCTGGAGTGTTTTTAAGGAACAATAAGGAAGTCACAGGCAGAAACAAGGAGAATAGACCAGCCACGGTGGCTCATGCCTATAATCCTCACAATCTGGGAGGCTGAGGCGGGAGGATTGCTTGAGGTCAGGAGTTTAAGACCAGCCTGAGCAACATAAAAAGACCCTGTCTCTACAAAAAAATAGAAAAAATTAGCTGGGCATGGTGGTACACATCTGTAGTCCCAGATATTTGGGAGGCTGAAGCAGGAGGATCACTTGAGCCCAGGAGTTTAAGGTTGCTGTGAGCTAGGCTGACACCACTGCTCTATCTAGCCCAGACAACAGAGTGAGACTCTGTCTCGAAAAAAGAAAAAAAGAAAAGAAAAGAAACAAGGAGCATTGATAGAAAGCTAATGCACAAATCCAAGCAAGAGATGATGGTGGCTTGGACCACAGTGATGAGAAATGGCCAGATTCTAGAAATATAAAGTAGAGTCAGCATTTGTTGATGGGCCAGTTATAGAGCGTAAGGGTGGGGGGAAGGGATCAAGGAAAACCCTGAACCTTTTGGCCTGAGCAAGGATAGAGTCCAGTACATTTCATGGTTCTTTCTTTTCCAACCCCCTGTAGGTCCTCCCCACCCCCAGGATTTGGATTTCTGTCACCTGCATCACAACCTCCCCACTGAATGAAAGAAATTTAGAGAGTCCTGGTATTCAAAAGAACAGATCTAAAGATGCTTGTGGTTTTGCTCATCTAAAGCCAGTGGGATCTTTTGAGGCTGGGACTTCAGAGGCTGCATCTTACAAGCTAATGCAGCTCCTGTCCTGTTCCCAAAACACTTGTGCTATGTTCTAAAACACTGTACTTCTGTGATTCTGCAATCTTATAATGATTCCATTGGAAAAATTGCTCTATTTTTCAGGGATCTAGCAGATACCTTTCAGAATACTGAAATTCTGTGTATTATAAATATACTGAACCTACTGTGAATATTGCAAGTATACTGAAATTCTGTTTAGTGTCATCTTATACCTCAATTGGTTGGCTGGGCGCTAAGGAACACAACTTTCTCAGAGAAGAGAAGTACTCCTGGCTCTTAGAAGTTAAGCTATAGACAGATATATACTTGATAAACCATGTGCCGCTTTTGTCAAATGAATCGATGCAGTGTAGCATCATAAGCTGAAACTTTCATTAATTTCACTTTTTCTGGCTTATTTACTTGTTTATTAGTTCACGGAGACGGCAGATTATTTTAAGTAGAGTAACAATATACATGCAATGCATGATAGTGTCATCATGAGTCAAGACATGAAATAATAAAAACAAGTCAATACCATTTTATCTTAAACTCTGGCCTATTAAGCATTAAAATAATAGTGGTATGTGTGTTTAGAGCCAATATTCTGGTCTCTGTACAAAAATAAAGGCTTTCTTTGATATCAATAAACCGTTAAGCACCTATCTTAAATTGTTTCAACATTAAAAAAAATAGCTTACTGTCCTCAGCAGTAAATAATGCATTGCCTTCAATTACACAAATTAATTTATATTTCTGTCTCAAACATTATCCAGTACCCTACATCCATTTCATCAGAGAAATTCTAAATTATCACTATGGAATATATTTGCTTTTATATTGGATTGTATAGCACACTGAACATTTAAAATATGATAAAGGAAAAAAACCTTCATATAACTACCTCTAAGTATAATAGATGCCTCCTAACTCTAAAGTATCCAGGCTGGTTTCCCCACTGGCCTTCAGACTTGCCTGTCCAGTAGCTCCTGGACTCCATGTGTCCCAAACTGAACTCATCCTTTGCCTCCAACTGCCCCTATTCCTGCGTCTTGTGTATTAACGACATCTCCATCCACCTGGTCAACTAGGCTCAAAACTGGAATCTTAACTCCTTTCTATACTTCATTCCCTGTATCCAGTTAGTTGCCAAGTACTGCCTGTTGAACAGCTTCCAAACTGGCTGCCCAGCATCTAATCTCTCCCTTCTTCACCCCACTGCTAGAATTCTCTTCTTATTTTTTTTTTTCCTTGAGACAGGGTCTCACTCTGTTGCCTGGGCTAGAGTACAGTGGCATCATCATAGCTCACGGCAATCTCAAACTCCTGGGCTCAAGCAGTCCTCCTAACTCAGCCTCCTGAGTAGCTAAATCTACAGGCATGTGCCACCATGCCCGGCTAATTTTTTTTTTTTTTTTTTAGAAATGTTTAGCTATGTTGCCCATGCTAGTCTTGAACTCCTGGCCTCAAGTAATCCTCCTGCCTTGGCCTCCCAAAGTGCTGGGATTACAGGTGTGAGCCAGTATGCCTGGCCTAGAATTCTCTTCTTAAAGCTCAGATTTATGTTATTATTTGCTCAAAAACCTTACAATTTTCTCCCATTTTCTAAGGAACAGCCTCCTTAAATAGTACACAAGGCTTTCCACAGTTTGGCCCTGACTCTCCACTGCATCTTGTTTTCATTGCCCTCAGAATTTAATTTATAGAGGTGACTACAGTTCTCAAAAGAAGGGGCTTCGCCATACCACACAGGGAAGTACAGGGTCAGTCAGGAGGCAGAGGGAGCAAGAGAAAGAATGGCCCAGATCTCTATTGAGGTATCCATGGGCAGGAATAGGTGAGGCAGGGTAGGCCAAGTTTGAGCAAGTTTAGGATTGAATAGTTTGAATAATGTTGGCAGGCTCTGGGATATAGGGGTGATGTCTAGTTGTTCTGGTACTTGGCCCCGGGGTGATTTACTACAGTAATTTAGAGCAGGGGAAATATTGGCATGTGAGCTGGATAAAGGAAGTGTGGGGATATAGGCTTGGATTGGTTGCTTTGTATATGAAAGCTGTGTTCACCAGCAAGTTGTTTGCTAACTTGGAATTTGCTAACCCTGGAGGGCACAGTTCTTCTCCAGGTCCCCAAGGCCCCTAGATGTCAAAGCATCATAAAATACAGAAAATAAAACCCATGATTAATACACACCTCCCTCCCACACACCCTTTGCTCACAGCTCTAGTAGCCCTAGAAATGCTCTTTTACATGAAGTAAGTTCTGTTGTGTGTCTCTCAACAATCTGCCACCACCCTAGCCCTGGCTGAGTAGAGCCACCAAGTCTGTTGCTATGTGACCATGATCCCTCCCCTGTCACCCTCCCCCAGCCACTGGACCAGTGATGGCACCTGACACAGACACCCCACCTATAGGAGGTTGGGCAATCTATGACAATTGTGGCCCGCCTCAAAAAGATAAATTGGACCAATTGGATTTCCTCTTTTGGATATTTAAATTGAGAGCCACAAAAGGAGATTGTCAGTTGACAGTAAGGTGAGCTGGGAGGCTCTGAAGGAGACTCAAGGCCTTTCTTTGCAAGCCCCCCCCCAATACAACAAATAGTTCATAATCTAGTCCATTATAACTACCTGGGGCTAGTGTTGGAGTTTTTTTTTTTTAATGTTTCTTTCAAATATCAAGATTAACAGAGTTGCACGGTGAAAAAAACTGTAGGAAAGGTCAGACTTAAGCATGCAGTGGAGGCACGTGATGTCTTTATTTTAAGCCCCCAAACGTGTTGCGAAGTGTTTTTAATTTCATATAAACATTTAAACGTCCACAATCTAGTGCAAATGCATCCTGTAGCTTCAATGGGCCATGCAGGTTCTCTGTAACGAGCGCACACCGAGCCATACGCAGAGGGAAGAGCACTTTGGCCCGACCCACCTGCTGCTCCCCGCCCCTGGGTCCCTCGGCCGAGGCCGCAGACTCTCTCGATTGCTTCTGCCTGGGCAGGCCGCCTGGATCGACTGCTCCTGTCTGGCCCGTCCCTGAGCGCGGGAAATGAGTTTCCCCAACATTCCCGCCGGGCCTCCTCCTCCTCTTCTTTTACACCCTGACTCCTTGAGGTCTCCCGAATCACGCGAGTGGAAAAGGAGACGCTCAAGTGGCCGCCATGTCCGAGGCTTATTGTCCGGTGGAGTCGGGCGCGCTGGGGCCCGAGGAGAACTTTCTGTCCTTGGACGACATCCTGATGTCTCACGAGAAGCTGCCGGTGCGCACGGAGACCGCCATGCCCCGCCTGGGCGCTTTCTTCCTGGAGCGGAGCGCCGGCGCCGACTCTGACAACGCGGTCCCCCCGGTGAGCCTTCGGGCGCGGGTTCCCGCCAGACGGACTACAGCTCCCCGCGGGCCGCGAGGCCCAGGTCGCCGCGTCGGGGCGCGCGGGCCTCTGGGGTTTGTAGTTGCGGGAACCGGGTCCGCAGACGCCAACAACCTCTGCGCGCACAGTGGGCTTCCGACTTCACCTGTGGGAAAACTGCCTTGATCCTAGGTCGTCAGGCTCTCTCCAACACTGGTTTCATTTTTGACTGTCCCAATTCATCATTGTGCTGAATGCTTAAGGATTGCCTCCAACTGAATACTTCAGGATGAGGGTTCTGATCACGTTTGACTTAAAAACCGCTTTGGGCTGTAAGAGCATGTGATGAGTGTAGGAACCCTAAAATGTTAGGTTCATTCCTGCATAATGATCACGGCATCAGCACCCATTTACTGAGGGCTTGCTTAGTGCCAGCATAGGCGAGGCGGGGGGAGTAAGTTTTTCCATTTGTTACCGCTGTAATCCGTCAACAACCCTCTAGTTAGGTAACCAGGAAACTGAAGCCCAGAAAGGCTGGGTAACGTGGCCAGGATCTCGCAGTAAGTGGTGAGCTGGGAGTCGAACCCAGGGCCCTATGGCTTTAAATACCAGTTTGTCCCAGGAACATGACTTACAATGGTTAATTTTGATTTCCTGTTTTGCCTGAGTTTTGTTCAGAAGGGTGTTTCTGTTTGGTCTGTTAGTTTCGAGTCAATTTTTATCAAAGCAACACATACACAAAGTTTTAAAAGTCAAATAGTACCAAAAGATTTATTACAAAAAAATTAAGCCTTGCTTCTCTCTTTTCCCTTCCAACTCCACAGGGCTTGTGTACTTTTTCAGTGATGTCCTTTTTACTGTTCCAGGATCCCATCTAGGATACCGTATTGCATTTAGCAGTCATGTCTCCTTAGGCTCCTCTTGGCTGAGAAAGTAAGACTTTCCTTGTTTTTAATGACCTTGACAGTTTCGTGGAATACTGGTTAGGTATTTTGTAAAACATTCCTCAACTGAGATTTGTTCGATGTTTTTCTCATGATTAGACTGTGGTTATGGGTTCTGGGGAGGAAGACCACAGAGGTCAAGTACCATTTTTATCACATCATTTCAAGGGTACCTACTGTCAACATGATTTATTACTGTTCATATGAAACTCGATCACCTGGCTGAGGTGTTTGTCAGGTTCCTCCACCTTTTCATACTGTACTCTTTGGAAAGAAGTCATTATGCACAGCCGCCCTGAAGGAGTAGGGAGTCATGTTCTACTTCTTTGAGGGCAGAGTGTCCATGTTAATTATTTGGAATTCTTTTGCATGAGAGATTTGTGTAGGAAGGTTTGCATGACAATTAATTTTATTCGTATGTATAGGACTATTCAGATTTTGTTTCTTCTTATGTTAGTTTTGGCATATTTGTTTTTAACTAGAAATCTGACCATTTCATCTAAATTTTCAACTGTTTGGTACAATGTTCAAAATGTCCTTTTATTCTCTTTTTAGTGTCAGTAGGATTATAGTGGTGCCATTTTTATTCTTGGTATTGATAAATTGTACTCTCTCTCTTTCTTGATTAGTCTTGCCAGGAGTCTATCAATTTTGTTAATCTTTTGAAAGAACTAACTTAAGGTTCTCTCAGTTTTCTCTTTTGTGCCTTTTTTTCCTGGGTCATTAAGTTCTTAGTTGGTTCTTTCCTTCTACTTTATTTGGATTTAACTTTCTGTTATTCTCCCTCCCCGTCACATTTTAAGATGGATACCTAATTGATTTTTTTCAATCTTCCTTTATACATTTTTAGCTGTACATTTCCTCTAAGCACAACTTTAAATGTATAAGTTTTGATTTGTTGTATTTTCATTATCAGTGAATTAAAAATATTTTCTAATTTCCAATGTGATTTTTTTTCTTTGACCCCTAAGTTGTTTAGAAGACCAGTGCTTAATTCCAGACATTTTAGGATTTGGTTACCTAGCCTTTTGTTTTTGGTTTCTAGCTTAATTCCACTCTGGTCAGAGAACATAATTTAAATGATTTCAGTCTTTTGAAAGTTGTTAAGACTTGCTTTATGCCACAGCATACGTTCAATTTAGCCATTCTGTGTGCACTTGAAAAGATGTCTATTGTGAAGTCATGGTGTGCAATAAATAATCTGTGTATGTAAACTAGGTCAAGTTTATTATTTGTTTTATTGGGATCTTCTCTATCCTTCCTGATTTTTTGTTTGCTGCTTTTTATTTATCTAAAGAAACATGTTAAAGTCTCACTATGATGATGGATTTATCTATTTCTCCTTTTACTTCTGTTAATTTAGATAGATATTTTTATTTTTCTGGTAGATACAGTGACCCTTTTTCATTGTCAAATGTTCCTCTTTAGTAAGGCTTCTTTGTTTTGATTTGTGTTTACATGACATTTTTTCCATCCTTCTATTTTCAGCCCTTCTGTGCCTTTATATTTAAGCAGCTTATAGTTGGGTTTTGTTTTTTATTCAATTTGACAATTTTTAATTGGTATATTTAATCCATTTACATTTAACGTATTGATGTATTTGTATTTAATTTTGCCTTCCTACTGTTTTCTTTGTGTCCCATCTGATTTAGATTCCTTTTTCTTTCCTTTGTTGACTTCTTTTGGATTACTCAAGTTTATTTTATTATCCATTTACCCTTTTATTAGTTTAGTTAGATATTCTATTATTTTAGTGGCTACCTGAAATATAATATTACACAATCATTTCTGACTAACAAGAATGTTATACAAGTTACTACTTTCAACACAGACATTACTAGGATCTTAGAACACTAAAACCCCATTTTCTTCCTCCTTTTGTGTTATCGTCAGGTACTCTAATTTGACTCATTTTAAACCTTATAAAACATTATTATTATTATATGCCCACTTGTTTATTCTTTTTAGGACTCTTTTTTTCTTCCTGCATTTCCATAGTATCTTCTGGAGTCATTTTTATTCTCTCTTCAGGATTTCCTTACTCTTGGTCTTCTGGTAATAAATTCTCAGTTTCTGTCTATGCCAGGGGTCCCCAAGACCAGCCCAGGTTTGATCTTTCACTAAGAGGACTCACAAGACTCAGCATATGGTCATACTCATGGTTAGGATTTATTACATCAAAAGATACAAAGCAACATCAGCAAAGGGAAAGGATGCATGGGGTGAAGTCTAGAGGAGACCCAGGCACAAGATTCTGAGAGTTCTGACCCAGTGGAGTCCCACAGGACGCACTTAAATTCTCCAGTAATGAAATCTGACAACATGTGTGAAATATTCTCTACCAGGGAAGCTTGTTAAAGACTCAGTGCCCAGAGTTTTTTATTGGATGCTGGTCATATAGGCACTGTCTGCTTAGCACATACCAAAATTCAGACCTCCAGAAGGAAAGCAGGTGTTCAACATGAACCACATTGTTTGTGTAAGCAGTTTAGGCACAATGAGACACTCTCATCAGTTCTGGGACTGGTGGGAACCCTTCTGAAATCCAAGTTCCCAGATGCCAATCAAGAGCCAATTGTGCAAGCAAGTCTTGCAAAGGTAGCAGTCTCAGGCTTGCTATGTTAACCCTTTTCTGCACACTTGCTGTCTGAAATGCCTTTATTTCACCTTTGCCTTTAAAGGATATTTTCACTGGGTATCGAATTTTACATTAGCAGTTATTTTCTTTTAGCACCTTTTAAAAACTGTTGTTCCATTTCCATCATTTTGTGGCTTCCATGGTTTCTGTTGAGAAGCTGGCTTTAACTCTTATTGTTCCTTTTTTAAAGGCAATGTGTTCTTCGCCCTCATCCACAGCTGCTTTTAAGATTTTCTCTGTGTCTTTGGTTTTCAGCAATTTGGGGAAGATGTGCCTAGCTGTGGTTTTATTAGTATTTATTCTACTTGTTTGTTGTTCATAATGTTTCTTGAATCTATGGTTTGATACTTCTTTTTAATTTTGGAAAATATATAGCCATTATCTCTTCAAATATTTTTTTTACTTTAATCTATCCTTTCTCCCCTCAAATCCCTTCAAATTACATGCACTGGCCTTTTTTTTTTTTTTACACAATATTTTATTATGTCTCTTATGCTCTCTTCTGTGTTTTCTCTCCATGCTAGGTCTGGATATTTTCTACTAACCTTTTTTCCAATTCATGATCCTCTCATCTATGTCAAATCTAATAAACCTGTTAAGTTTGACTTAATCTATTGACTTCTTAGGTTCAATTATTATATTTTTCACTTATGGAATTTCATTTAATTTTTTAAATTTATTTTAAAGTTGGTGCCAGATATTGGGCTTACTTCTTTCTCAGATTTTGGCTCCCCATGTCCTGGCTGCTTTGGCAGCCTTAAACCAGTATCTGTGTCTCCAGTCCTGTAAGGTTTGCCAAAAGCTCTGCTTCCACACCCCCCAAAGCTGTTCCCACTTTTTGCAACAGCTCTCCCTTGTCTGAGTATTAAGCTTTTATTGCTTCATTCAATCCAGTTATGTTTGCTTTTGATTTTTTTTGAAGATTTCTCTTAATTTCTGGTCCATCATGACTACTTCATCTTGTTTCCCAATCCTGTTAAGGCTTTAAAAATATAGAGAGACATTTATCTTTTCTGTCATCTCTAAAGCTGTCAAGTGGGATAGGGAGGGGTTTGCCACCTGAGCTCAGGGGGATCCTATTTTTCTTTCTATGCCCCCAGCTCCCAAGGTGATGCTTAACACATAGTAGTCACTGAGCAAGTGTATATGTGAAATAGATACTGAATATTCAAAGAAAGTAGAAACGTTTACTATAGTTCTGAGGTATTGTCCTGCGATCGGACAGCTTTTATTTACGTTAGTTAGAAATCTTCCTCTTCTACTAGGTTTTTGTTCTCTACCATGTTTTGGTTGTATAAACCCATTTTCTCTCTCTGTTCCTTCATGACATTAAACTTCAGCACACACAATTCATTTCTCCAAGTCACTACCAGGTCTTCTGCGTTTGACAGCCACTCCCCTAAAGAGGACAGGCAGTATTGCTCAGGCGATGTGTATTTCCTTTTTGTCACACACATTTTCTATGTTATTTGTTTTTAAAATCTACATTCTTGTCTGATGCAGGGCTCGAAGATTGAACTCCCCTTGTGGCTGGCAAAAGGACTTTTTGACAACAAGCGTCGGATCCTTTCCGTGGAACTTCCCAAGATCTACCAAGAGGGTTGGAGGACCGTGTTCAGTGCAGATGCCAACGTGGTGGACCTCCACAAAATGGGGCCACATTTCTACGGGTTTGGCTCCCAACTCCTGCATTTTGACAGTCCCGAGAATGCAGATATTTCCCAGTCTCTGCTACAGGTAAGTAATTGATGTGAAAACCTATGGTGCTACAAGTGTCTCAGGAGCCAGCATGGCAGCCACCAGGTGTCTTTTACCCAGGACACTATATGACTTGTAAACTTGGTTTGTTATCATTCCAGATCAGCCTACAATTACACTATGTCAGCTATTTATATATTTTTAAAAATACAACTTGTCTGCTGTTCCTCATATTTGCTCACTAAGAGTTGGGACCAGCAGGAAGTCCAAGGAATGAAAAAAGGGTGATGGTGGATTACAGGTGACAGGGACTTAGACACATAGTCCCAGCCCAGTCGCAGGCCTGGTCTGGGAATTCCTGTTGGAAATATATGAGTTACTGGGTCATTCGTTCCCTTCCTTTGCTCTGGGGTTAAGACCTGGCTGTGCCGTGGACTAACGTGTGACTTGGTCAAGCTATTTGACTTCTCTAGGCATCAATTCTTCACCTGTAAGGTGGAGATAATAATAGTGCCAAAATCACAGAGTCGTAAAATTATGTAGCGCCATGTAATAAACGGTAACTATTATTGTTATTATTTTGCATGGACAGAACAATGTTATACATCTGTTACCATCCTATACAGTATAACCTTATTTTAATCTTCTGTTAATATTAGAAAAAAACATCTTTTTTGCCTCTTAGGACATAAATCTCCGAAAGGATTCATTCCCCCTTTCTAGCTTTATGAGAACTGTTGGTTCAAGACACGTTTGCTCCCTGGGCTGTGTTGATGTCTTTTATCAGGCTTAAGCGTTATTTGGCCTGCTACATGCAAGTGCTGTTTTTAACGTAGATAGTAAAGGAAAACGTTGTTGCTGTCCATTCGGTAAGAGAAGTCAATGCATCGGTGATAGACAGCTCAAGTTTAGGAAATTCTTCGAGCAGAAAGTTGCTCTTAAATTGGAATCCTGTCCCTTTTTCGTGAGTTGTATGTTTTCTTTTTCTATCACTGCTTCAAAAAGCTTTAAACTAGAGTTGCTTATAGATAAGGTGACTTTTCCCTAAGGCAATTGAAGAAACTGGAACTGAGGCTTATGGTTTGTGCTCAGAGCCTGACGGTAAAAAGGTACCCCCAGATAACACGCGCCTCCATCCTGCTTTCAGACTGAAAGACAGAAACTGCATCCAGTTAAATCAAGAGTCTCTTCTGGTTGAAATCTGTCTGCATGTGACTACAGTACATCATTATGGCCTTTGTTATGAATAACAATAATACATGATGCTTTTTGAGGAGCTTACTATGTGCCAGGCATTTGATAGGTGCTTGACATGTATTACTTCATCGATTTTCATAACAGTATCTCACAGACAAGGAAATCGAGGTTTGGCAGTGTGCAATAACTTACTCGAGTGGTAGACAGGACTCAGACCTCCTTCTGGCTGAGTCCTGAGACCTAATTCTTGCTTTTCATACCGTTTAAAGTTCTGAAACAAAAACGGATCTGGCTTTAAGGGGAGTGAGATCAATCCTGACTTCTCTTACTCCCTTCTCGTTCAGACTTTTATTGGACGTTTTCGCCGCATCATGGACTCCTCCCAGAATGCTTACAACGAAGACACTTCAGCACTGGTAGCCAAGCTAGACGAGATGGAGAGGGGCTTATTTCAAACCGGGCAGAAAGGGCTGAATGACTTTCAGTGCTGGGAGAAAGGGCAGGCTTCTCAGATCACAGCGTCCAACCTCGTTCAGAATTACAAGAAGAGAAAATTCACGGACATGGAAGACTAAAGGCCAGAAGAACACGGAATTCTTCCTTGTAGACTTATCCCTCTGTGTGTCCTTGATAAGAGCTGGTTGACCTTATACAGGACCAGAATCGTGTCCTATTTCATGGCTTGTTTCCTGTAGCAGTCTCAGGAGTGGGACCATCTGATTGGGAACGGACATGCTGCAGGATGTCCCTGGCCCTGTAAGTTTTCTAGGACTATCCCTCCCTGCTGACCCTCAGCCCAGGCCTTTTAACCCCAGAACCCACAGCTGAGGAGAAATCAAAGTCATTCCTAAATAAGGATCATTTACATACGCATCGCAGTAGCATTGCAACCGGGATTCCTGTGTCTGCGAGTTTGGACAGCCTCATTTGTCCAGTTTCACTGGCTGCAAAGGACAGGTACAAACTGGGCTGTCTTGGCCTGTTCACAAAATGTTCTCTTGATCTTGTTTGCCTCATCTTCCTCATGGTTGTAGGGAGGACAGCACTCCCAGGATGCTGTCCTGACATGATATCTTCAGCCACCCACCTGCAGGGAGTTACCCCAATTTCCAAAAACAGTCACCAAGAATAAGGGAGGAAAAGAGAAAGGCACATGAATGGCATGGCTGTGACTAAAGAAAAGACGTTGCTTTCATGCTCTGTACTCAGGGCTTTGTGAGCTGGAATTCACATAACTCTACAGTCAACCTAGAAGGAAAATGGTTAAACTGAGCTTGTTTTGTCTGTGAGATCTATAGAGCACCCGCACACTTATTCTATTCCCTGCCTAGAAAAGCTGTCAAGGGAGTCATCGGGATTTGCAAAGTAGTTATTAAAGGACGTTAACCAGCCTTTATTACGTCTGGAAATCAGGACTTGAGGGTTGCCAGCTGAGCAGAGTCCTGTTTGAGAACCTTAACACAGGGAATCTAAGTCGACAAGAAGCCTCAATTGTGTTTTTTTCTCTTGGGTAAATTTTGCAACATTATTGCATAGAGGATCCCTGGACGTTTACTAGGAACCTGTTTAAGCACAAAACTCCTCCTCTGGAGATCAAGGAGGCAGCCTCAGGCTGAGTAAGACACAGCATTCCCTGAGTTCGTTGGACTGTTAGCAGAGCACCCCTGCTCCCCTTCCCTCACCCCACAACTAGCAAAAGTTGTCTTTGACACTGGAAATTAGAGAGATTTGGGTCTCCAGACTGTGCAGATGTCTTGATGTAAACTTAGAATGACAGAAATGCTTTTAAAATGCCTGTTTTAAGATGGAATCAATGTTTTTATAATTTGATTTTAGTGCTAAATAAATTTTTACATGAATACATTATGTACAAGTACTATTTCTGTAACTCTAGTACTACAGATGATCAGCAAAGCTATCGGAGAATTTTGCCTTTGATCGTATTTGACAAGAATGCCCAAATAAATCCATGTTTCAGCAACTGCTCTTTTGCTTGTACAATATGCATAAATATGAGGTTCATTCTCCATAGGAATGTGCTGCGTCCTGGGAAGATGAGACGTCTATTACTGCTACAGAATTTATATATAGTCAGGGCCCCAGAAATCATTCACAGAGTGAGAAAAGCATATTATTTAACTTTTGGCATCATTATGTTCACTTTGTATTGAAAGTTAATTCTAAGACTGCTGCCATTTTTCTTCTCACACTAAAGGGTGGCTCATGCCTGTAATCCCAGCACTTTAGAAGGCCAAGGTGAGAGGCTTGCTCGAGGCCAGGAGTTTGAGGCCAGCATGGACAACATAGCAAGACCCCATCTCTACCAGAAAACAATTTAAAAACATTAGCCAGGCATGGTGGCATGCACCTGTTGTCCTAGCTACTCAGGAGGTTGAGATGGGAGGATCACCCAGGAATTCGACACTGCAGTGGGCTGTGATTGTACCACTGCACTCCAGCATGGGTGACAGAGCGAGATCCTGTCTCTTAAAAAAAAAAAAGACTCAGGGGCCATATGTCAGGAATATGTGGGTATGCATGTACAGAATTTATTTCTGCTTTAAGTTGTGAACAGATTATATTACACACAGCTTTTGAACCCCTTGTCAATTACAGCTCTGCTCTCAAGCCTGTCAGACTACCCCTCTCCCTTCCAGCCCTCCAGTCAGTCTTTTGGATTACTATCTGGTCCCTTCAAAGGGGTGAATTTTTTCAAAAGACCCAGCAAATTGACTCAAATACCAAATTGCTTTCCAAATCCAGGGAGTAAATGTGCGCCCTTTCCCCTTAAGGGCTCTGTTCCCACGTAATTGTGGCCTTAATTATAGACAAAAGACCTCACTGTACTCATGGTTTTCCCAGGGACAGTCTGGGCTGCTGGGAGGAGTGGGACAAAGCTCTGTCTCTGTCAGTTGCTCCTGTTCTCCCTGACCTCTGAACTTTGGCCACTCCAGGCTTAGTCCTTAAATCTCCATCTATATGCTGATAACTCCCAAATCTGTTTCTCCAGCTCAGATCTGTCCGTCTAACTCCAGACTTGTATCCAACCACCTACTTGATGTTTCCACTTCAACACCGGACCTAACACGGCCAAGACTGAGCTCCTGATCCTGCCCGCCAGGCTACTACTCCTCTGATCTTTCCCGTCTCCATTTTTGACAACTCCATCCTGCCCTGTTGGTTAGGATAAAAACCTTAATGTCCGCCCCGTCCTTCTTTCCGTCTCTATATCTCTTGGGTCTACCTTCAAATCATTTGCAGCATCCGGCCACCTCTCCCCGACCTCCAGTGCTGTTGCTCGGGCCCAGGCCCCCTCCACTTCTCTCCTGGATTGTTGGGGTTGCCCCTTAACTGCCTTCCTGTATTCACTCTCCACACCACCTCCATCCACACTCTTCTCACTATAGCAGCCAGAGCGGTCTTGTTCAGAAATAAATCCAATCTTGTCGATTCTCTGCTCAAAACTCTCCCATCTCAGAAAAATTCACTCATTCATCCCAGCACAATTTGTTGAAAAGTCCGTCTTTACCCCAGTGATCTGATACTGGGTTTCCTTACTGCTTTCGTAGCAGAAATCATTTCTTTTTTAAATAAAAATTCCACCTTAAGAGAATTCTAAGCATCTCAAAGAGCTTCTCAGTCTCTCAGCACCACTGGACCTGAGACGTTTCTAGAATACTGTGAAGCAGTAAAACTGGCTTGCAGAAGCATTGACCGAACGCACGTCAGTTCTGCTCTGAGTCTATCTGTTCTCTTCTGTTCCACCAACCTTCAACAAACCCCAAGAGAGCTTTTTGTCTTTATGCTTGAAACAATTGTGTTTAAGTGAAAATATAATGTTTCAGACTGACCTTGGCCAAAGAAAACAACTGTGCGGAGGCCGTATGTGTGCTGCTCAAAGTAGATATTTTTGTGTTCAGAAGGAAAATCTATACTCGTGGAACAAATTGGAGGGTCAGTGCTTAACTATAAGGATTAATCTAAGAACTGTAATTTCCACATTTCTTATCTAGTAAAGGTAAACTTAAAATTTTAATATTGAACACAGGAACAATTTTTTTTAAGAGACAGTTAAATGCCCTACACCTAAAAACAGGGATCTAAAAGTTGGAATTCTGTTGCTAACTCTTGATATTAATTAGCCTTCTGAATGGGCAGCAGTAAATGTCCCATCCTTAATAACAGCGAATAAAATGTCAGGTGAATCAAGGGCAAGTGGGAGAAAATGTAGTTTGTTCTCTTCCTGAGAGCAAATGACTAATCCAGGTGACGGACCCAGCCTGCTTTTGTTGGAGCTCATTTCGTTGATTTCTCCAAGCTTCTGCTTTTCTGCCTAGTTAATCACAGGAGACACGGTGTAGCTGGACACGGCCTGCTTGCCAAGCAGCCTTACTCATTCTCCTCAGAACATTCTCCTTCCTGGCTGCACTGTCCTGTTGTCTGCCTTGGGATCGAGGGGAAGGGACAAATGAGGCCACCCCCAGAAGCAGAGGTCTCCTTCCTGTGTCTGCTTTTTCTGAGATCAGAGTCAAATCAACTAAAGGGGAATCATTTCATTAAACTTTTTATTTGGAAGTAATTTTAGATTTAAAGAACAATTGCAAGGAGAAGACAGAAAGTTCCCATATATCCCTCACCCAGCTTTGCCTAACATCTTACACAAGCGTGGTACATTTATCACAACGCTTATTAACTAAACCACTGGCTTTATGCAGATGTCACCAGATTTTCCACTCATGTCCTTTTCTTGTTTCAGATTTCAATCCAAATCCCACATTGTACTTAGGGGGCAATCATTTTTGAAAGCAAAACAGAGCATAGAATCCACCACATTAATTTCAGAAGTTAAGCTTATTGAAAAGGTTCCACTGCATCGGCGGGGGAGGTAACTAGGGCCAGCTAAGGGCCCACTGGAGCTTGTGTAGGAGCAGACTGCTGGTTAGCTCATCAAGAAGGGAGAGAATATTTGCTTTTCAACTGAAATTTTCACTTTTTCCCCAGTACTCGCATCTAACAGAAAAAGGCCTCTTTGATTTTACTGAAAACTTTTAGCATTCTTTTTGTCTGATTGCAGTGACTTGATTTTCTCCCCCTTTCTTTTCTGGCACTCTCTAGCTCATTTTCTTTGTGTTTAAATGAGTTTAAAACGAGCACGACTTTCTACACCAACATTATTAACAAGTGTCAATGCAGCTCTGAAAATAGTGCCTGGGAACTGCTAGTGTTGGAGAATTCATAAAGCAGCACGTGGAACATCCTACAAAACATCTCTCATCCGTGGCTAAGTACAAAAAAAACCCCAGAGTTTCAAACCTTTATGACATTTTCTGCTCCTGTATCATCCTTGAGAAAGAAGTTTATGTGATTCTCATATAATTTGCACATGTCCCTTTGTACAACTAAAATTCTTCCCTGGGGACATTTTCTTTTCTTTGGACACAGGAGAGCAAGTTGAGTAGCTAAGGAGTTTAGATTGAGTACAACAAATGGGGCAGGTGAGAGAAAGATAGTGTGATTTATTGAAGGAAAAGTGTGGTTGGGATTTGTTTTGAGGCTTGTGGATAGACAGACAGGAACCAGTATTAAAAGCCGGCATTGCCAGTCAATGAGGGGAGAGATGACAACGGTTGTTCCCAGAGAGTGGCCTTATCTTAATGGGACCAAGAGGGCCTGGCATTCGGCTATCTCTTTGGTTCAGGAGCAGAACATTTTAAAAACTGTTTCAAAGGACACTGTCATTTTCTAATTTAGCATGTCACGTTCACTCTTATTTCTTTATCCAAGGTAAACATTGAGTAATGTGCTTCTTTTGAAATAATCGAGCAGCCCAGGAAGCCTTTTCTCAGGTTTTAAGCCAGTTTAGACCTCGATCAACGTTTCAGAGGATCGTACTGGCTGCATTTCTAGATCATTTAAAAGATTTCCCGTATAACATGACACATCATGTTTGTGTCTAGCCAGCAGTGAAAATGAAGTTCTCTAGTTTTTGAGGCATTTTAAAAGAAAGCAATAAAAATTGAAAAGTCCACTCCATTTTGAAAGACTTATTTCCATAAGCCATTGTGGTTTTAAAAGGCTTTTCTGCCACTTCAAATAAAACAAAGAAACCATAGAAAAACAATGGGTCTCGGGTTACTGTGTGTGTGTATCTATAGAAAGAACATAGTGTTTATCTGGGTTAAGTGGGAGGAATGCGTGACCTTGCCTAATTAGGACTCAAGCACACCCACCTCTTCATGTTGTGGGGCAGGGTCCCTGAGGGACCCACGCTGCAGAGGAAAGAGGTTTGGTCTGCAGGCCCCTGAGATGTCATAAACACCAAGAGAACCAAGGCAGGGATAACCAGATGAAGGAGGTTGTGGCGAGTTTGTTATCACATCTCCCTAAACTGGTAGCTGCTACAGCATAGCTCGGAAATCATAGCCTAGAGCAGAAGGATTAACTAGTCCAGACTGTTAAAAAGACTTTTTTTATTGTTTTATATTTGATACATGCAGAAGAATATATGCAACCTACCTGTATCTTATGAAGTGTGGCAATATAATGAACGGCCATGAACTTCCGCTTCCGTAAGTTCTAGAGCATGACCATTGCTTCCTCACTCCTTCAGCGTAGTTCCTCTGCCACCTTGCACCCCCGAGTAACCACTATCCTGGATTTTATATTTATCATCCCCTTGATTTTTATATCTAATGAATATGTTATTTTTGGTTTGTTTTTGAACTCTGTAAAAATAAGATCATGCGAGCAGTCTACTGTACCTTGCTTCTCTCTCAATTTTATGCCAACTTTCAACCATGTAGCTGTAGTTCATCTTTTCTGCTGTACACTATTCTGTTGCGGGAACACGCCACAACTTCTATAAGCATTCTCTTATCAGTGGACATCTGGTTCATTTGCAGTCTTTCTTTTTTTATTACAAACATTGTCCCTGTTCGCTTTC